CTAATTGCAAAGATATGGGTTGCATTGTCCACTCATAATTTGGTTGGATAATTACAGTATGCTGTGGGGGCCAAACCTTCCCCTTGGTTATGCCTGTAGAACACCCACTGAAGCCAATGGAAGCTGCAACATGTATCTAAGGGAAGACTTTGGCTTTAGGAACTTAGGCCAAAGTTTTCAAAGTGTCTAAAGTTAAGTACTTAAATCAATATTTAGTCTCCTAAATAAAAGTGGACTGATTTTCAGAGATGTAGAATAGAAGCCGTGGGTTGTAAGCACCACTGGAAATCTGGAAAATTTTATTTAGGAGCCTAAATATGGATTTAAGTACCTAACTTATGAAATTCAAGTTTGAAAAACAATTGTTCTTAGAGCCTTTACTCGGGTTAGTTCTCCATTCATTTTTCGGATGGTTAATGTTAGTTAAGAAATGGAACCCCACAGAATTTCTACGGGATTTGGCCTGTATTATTTATCAGATAGAGGAGAACAAATCCTGATGACAAACTTGTAAAGGTGTTTAGTTCCATGAATACAAATGTTTAAAAGTGAATGAAGCTTTGGGCCTTATTCTGCTCTCATTGCAGTGGGGAGTGTAACTTCCATTAACGCCAGTGGGAGCAGGGTTGGGAAAACATAGCATGTATAAGTGTTGCCTTTAGCTTCCAATATATCACAGAAAGCATCTGGCTATTTTAAAGTTAACATCATCAACAACAACAACCAAAAAAGTCATCGTACAAAGTTTCCCCTTAAAAATGAAACTATTTGTTAATTAGAGGACAACGAGTAAGCTAACGGCAATGAGAAATATGCTTTTCTGTTTTGATTTAGAAGATACTACGTGGGTTGTTTAAATATGTAGGGGGAAAGTTCAGTTCTAAGCTTCAACCCTATCGCTCAGTATTTAGCATACAGTGGTTTGGTTTGGTTTAGGTTTTTTTATGGTTGAGTTACAGACTCTGGAAATAGACATTCATGAAAAGAAGGGTTTGTTCTCACAGGCCTTTACTCAGTGAGAGTTTTGGCTGAGTAAGGAGTGCAGTATATGACCTAAAGTGCTGACACAAACATAACCACAGTGGCACAAGGATGACTAATATATTGAGTGTGAGTGCCCAGTACTACTCCCAACGAGATCAACAAATATTCCCCTTGACTTCAAAGAGAATAGAATCAGGCCCTTTAGGAATAATGTTGGGAAACAGGGCAAAAAAGGAGTTATGGGCATGTTCAGTCATTTGGATGTGAATAGGTGGAGCAGGGAGGATTCCATAATTGCATATTATAATATTGCCTGGCAGTCAGCTAGCAATTAGTTAATGTCTTTGAAGATGCAAAGCACTATATAAATGCTAAGGGCCAAATTCTGCTCCCAGTTACGTCAGTATAAATCTGGAGTAGCTCCAGTGACTTTAATGGTGTTATTGCAGATTTTGCTCCAGTGCCAGTGGCACAGGTCTTTCATATTATCCAACTGAATTGCAAAGCTTTGAGACAGACTAAACATAAACATGTTTAAGATTGTCCCAATAAAGATGATTTTTTTCAGCCTCGTATCCCCCACCCAATTCTAGCAAATACTTCCCTCAAGTGCCTACTCGCTCTTCTATGGACTTCCCTTCAGCAGGAAGTCTCACACAGGCTAATGATCTGTGAAAGGACAAAAATCTTGATGGTACTCTGAAGGGAACCAAGGCTCAACCCCTGAGCCTTCCAGCAAAGCTATCAAGTTTTCCCCTTTAATCAACTTCCCACCTGCTCCAAAATTCCAATAGCGTACCCCACACCTTGTACCCTTTCAGTGGTGTCTGTTGCTGTACATGTAACAAAGCAATGGCTGAATAGATACTACAGCACTTAACTCTGTAGGTGTTTGGTGTAATAGACATACTTAATATTGATATATCACCATAGACTTCCCATGTGACCTTGGATAAGTCATTTAGCCTCTCTGTGCCTGAGGTCCCCATCTGTAAAATGGTAATAATAGCACTTCCCTACCTCCCAGGATAAATATACTGAAGGATAAATATACTGTGAGGATAAATATACTAAAGACTGTGAAGTAGTTTGAGATATACTGATGAAAAGCGCTATATAAGAGAGCATCATTATTATTATACTGTATACAGACTTCACATTCATCAGCTCAATGTGTACTTGTAGCATGAGGACTCTTGACTCAAAAAATAAACGTCTCCTAAGTAGGAGATCCTCCATTACCCACAAGTAGTGTCAGGGCTTTTTTCTTCTGTAGAACAGCCACTAGAGGACAGTGGTGAAGCTAATCTTCCCATTCACAATCAGTGAAATATGGCGTATAGTTGCATGAAATCCTTCTCTTCCCCCAACAATTCTGAGCTGCACGTTCAGAACATTCCCAACTAGTGGGGGCCCAAGAGCAAAGGAAAAATCTCAAGTGTAAAACTTATATCTCTCATGGCTTGCCAGCTGTGTTATCTCCAGGTCAGGCGAGGCTGAAAATAAAGATTTTATGAATATTCATAACCTTAAAGATTAGTACTTAAGGTTTCTTTAGTAGGACAATTATTGTGCGGTGGTAATACTGTATCCTTAACACAACCTTGTGATTATGCATTTTGAAGGAAGGAATTCTAATGAATAGCTTAGAGTATGTGAACATATGGAATATAAGTTACAGTGTTGTGTCTTATAATATACACCAATTAATACAGACACTGGGCAAGATTCACTAACTCTTGTACACCTTTCTGGGCCAACAAGGTTGCTTGCATGCCAGCGGGGATTTCATCCTAAGGAAGGGGAAGCAGTGAGGCTACCAGAACTGTCTCTTAGGGTTCCATTTTAATTCCCAAAGGGGCTGCACAGGAGCTCTGCCAAAGGAAGCAACTCCTAATAGGCACTGAATCAGTGTAATGTTTGGCAGGGTTTTTCCTCATGCCCTTTTCCTGGTGGTGGGTGTAATTTGCTTCAGACTCTCCCTGATTGGGTCAACTCTGCATTGCCATCAAAGCAGACTGCAGCCCTTTGTGGGTAGAGTATCCTCTCCTTCTCTCTCTAAGTGGGTAATAATTGTGCCTGAACTCAAATCCCATTCCATAGCTGAATGTTTAAATTGTCACCTAGTGTACATTTTTATATTAAAAGCGAGGCTAAAACTACTAGCCCAACATGCCTATAGCTCTTTCTTTCTAAAGAGCCAATCCACATTTATAGTTATCCTTTCATGAGGAATACTTTTCTAGCCTATTTAGGTCTAGATTCTGCCCCTCCCCCCATCTCACAGTGAATAGTACCTTATTCTGTGAGTAGTCTCTTTGATTTCAAGGTGCTACTCATCTTAAATTGAGGTGGCAAAATCTGACCCATAATCAATTATCTTCATCTTGCACTAATAAATTGGGGCCAGACTGTAAAACCTTATTCAGTGGTACGCGGTCACACAGGCAGTCCCACTGATTTCAGTGGGATTACTTGCAGTCCTACTACTTTTGTAACTTGTCCCCAACATGCATAAATGGTTCACAATATGGCCAATTAGAGTCCAGGGGGCAAAATTGCCATTTGTGAACCTCATTGCCATTGGAGATAAGTGATTTTTAAAAAAAAAAAATAAAGCAAGCGGTATTAAGTGACCAGCTTCTGACAATACACGCATTCAGTAAATCGTTGGAGAAAAATGTTTACAGGAAGGATGCATGAGTTGAAATTACCATGGGCTACATAGTAACTTCTGTGACAACTACTATTTTTTATCTTCCACAACACTTGGCATAAAATCCATAAGCCCAGAACATTGTTTGTAGCATTAGGACAAAATTCTGCTCACCTTATCCAGGCAAATAGCCCCACTGAAGTGCCTGTTCCAGCTGAAGTAAATGGCAAATCTCCCATTGACTGAAATGGGAGCAGTGTTGGGCCATTGGCTGTATAGCTTCTGTGGCTACATCACAGTTCTTAACTGGAGTGTTTACATTCTGAAAATATTACTATTTGTGATCAAACCATTTAAAACATGCTCATAAGTTATCTATTGTGAAATTGCTCCTTTAATCCAAACTTGAAAAGAAATCTGGGTAAAAGTCACACTGATGTGAGGACTAACACAAAGCCCTCCATACCATTTAAACCCCACATTGAAGCTGTACAGAAAAGGCACAGAAAGCAGTGATGGTAGCAGGCTGGAGAGAGGGCATGTGTCAGGGGAATGCCCAAGCATTGAAAGCAATTCAGCAGCCTCCTCACAAAGTGTCATGGGTGTGCTAGGGTAGCACATGAGGGATGGGGCATTGCTGCAGCCCTATGCCCTAATGGCATGTAGAGACTGGGTTTTGCTTTCTCAATCCCACATTTTACCCACTTAAAGCCAGATTACTCAGGCTTTTTATAGACAAAAGGAATTTCATCATCTGTGCACAGCTCTTTTCAGGATATATCTACTCATTTCACACGCAGAACTCCTTGTGTGGTACACACAGATTGAGTGCCAAATATGGCTCAGTACATTTTTCTTAGATTTGTAAGTGAAAGATACCCAACCTTTGTATTCGACTAACTGTATTACTGTATTTGCAGGTATTCTTGGATTTCAGCATTGGATTTCATGTAGAGGTAATATATTTATAAAAATAGTTATTATTAAACAGCAGATTTTCTGAGCAATGAAAATGTAACTATCATTAAAAATGAAATAAAGAATTGAAAGGGTTTTATAAGCTAAGATATTTTTGGACCATAAAATCTGAAAAAAATACTTAAATGTTGACCTGCTAAGGAAAGAGATCTGGTCCTGCAAACTCCTAATTTTATTGAAGTCAGCGGACTACTCACATGAGCAAGAACTTGCAAGAGTAAGGATGTGCAGGCTTAGGCTCTGGGACTATAAGCTTTATAAACAGATCATTAGTCTATACTAATGTTCATACTGTTTACTATCTACTGTCTTCCATACTTTACACTGTTAAAATCCTACCAGTCTATATTGGTTACAACTGTATTCAGACTGCTTGTCATAGTGACCCTGGAACTCTTTCTGCCTAAGGTGAAAGAATGGAATGAAAATGGTGTGGCGCGATGGAAAACCTTCAGAAGACAAAAACGGGAATGGATTAAATTTGCTGCAAATTGTAGGGAAGGAGAAGATAATTCAAGGAAGAATCCAATTGCCAAAGTAAGTGTTGTTTATTGATTAGAAAGTATGTTGCAAAGAAAAAGCGATAAAGCTAGAGACCTAATTGAGCTAACTGGTGGAGACCTTGAAATATAAATTTTGCCGAGCATGTCCAAAAGAAAAAAGGCAGAATAGGAGAGGGAAGGAGCTCTAGAGCTGCTGGTTCTACTGAGATTACCATACCCACATAAGATCAGAAAGTTGTGGACTAGATTGTGGTACTGAGTGTTCTTGGGGCACTACGGAGGCCTCCTAGAGCACAAGTGGAGCATGAATGCTGCTGCATTTTTTGGGAAGTGCAGCATACATTCTGTCTGATGCCAGCTACACCATCACTTCATAATGGCGCTCTCTTTCCCCACCCACTTTGAGGAATCCCTGAGAGCAAGGATTGGGATGGTGTCTGACTAGTGTGCAAGGAGGCAATGGGGCAGAAGAGCAGGAAGGTCCCAGAGCCCAGGCTCTACCCCAAGCCCAAACATCTACACTGCACTTTTGTAGCCCTGCAGCCCAAGCCCCGCAAGTCTGAGTCATCTGACACAGGTCAGCCATGGGTGTTTAATTGCAGTATAGACATATCCTGAAAGAGCAGCACTGGAAAGCTCTCTAAGGGGCTACATCCAGCCCACCATGTTAAAGAGAATTCTGGCATAATGCAGTCTGTGGGGCCCATGAGGAGAGTAACTGAGAATTCTGTAAGGCTTTGTGAAGGGAGAAGCCATCACTTGTGTTCTCAGTAAACTGTGATAAACATAATATTTTCCATTTGTTTATTGTTGTAGATTCGATCAGATTGCGAAGAAAACCTACCAGTTATATACAGCATCTCTGGAATAGGGATTGATCAGCCACCTTATGGGATCTTTGTTATTAATTCAAGAACTGGAGAAATTAATATAACATCAATAGTTGATCGAGAGGTGACATCAGAATTTGTTGTAAGTGTTGTACAATCCATTTATTAGCACAGTGTATTCTCCTTTCTTTTTTACTTCATACCTTCTTTTGATGAATGCTGACAGAGAGGGAAGTGAAGTTTCAATTAATAATTATTTTCAAAATTTGAGTTTGTTTCTTCTTCTTTTAAATTATACATATTTGTAATCCTCTTTATCCAGATTCGCTGCTTTGCTAAACATGCACTTACTCATAGAGATTTAGAACCACCTCTTGACCTTCGAGTCAAAGTTCTGGATATAAATGACAATGCGCCGATATTTTCACAAGCAACGTATATGGGATCTATTGAAGAATGCTCTATGGAGAGTAAGTAACTATTCTGTGCACATTTTACAGCAATTGTCAGTAGCCATAGCAATAGTGGAGACTGCAAGACAATTACCACGCTTTTTTTCAGCTGCTCATAATGTTCTCAATCAAATTCTTTTCACATTTAGAAATTTTTAGGAAAATGGGTTATTTTTTTTTCTTTTTAAGTTTGGTTACTTGTTTGTGAGGGTAAATATAATTATAAATAATATCATTTTCCCCATGTGTCTTGATCTGAAAATATGTGTTTGTATAACTAAAAATGTGGCTGACGTTGGCAACTGCAAAGTAACATCCTAATATGGCAAACCCTTCCTACTAAGTACAGGGCTTACTACCAAGAGAATTCCTACTGACCTTACCCATGTGAATAATCTTTGTACACATCAGTAGTATCATTGAACTGCATGGGACTATAAAGATTACTCACATGACTATACATTTGAAGGTTATAGCCTATACTGTGACTTAAAACCAATCTGATGAAAACCACTTACTGCTTTTTAAATTACGGACACTTATATTTGGCAGTGTCCAACTTTTATATTAGAAGAATTCTGAAACTTTTTTCTGTTAGGCCCTAATCCTGCAAGTTACTTCACGTGCCCTTAATTTGTAATGCTTTTTTAAGAAAGCATTTTTTAAAAAGTAATTGATTACTGTGACCAGGTTTAGCCATAAGTAGCTGATACAATGTTGACCACAACTTGTCCTTGTCTATATTGATCCCAATGTTATGGGAAGCATCATTTAGTTAGCTCAACTCTTCACAATTTATATTCTAACACAAGGCAATTTTGAAGTGAAGTCAAGCCCTGGAAGTCAATAAATGAAAGAGGGAGAGTCTGCTTCTTCCGGCATTCTCTCCCCTCCTATGAAAAAAGGACATATTGCCATATCTGTACCATGCACCAAGCAGGAAACTAGGGGACACCTAATGGCTCTGTCAGTTCCCTTTCCCCTCCTGGCAATCCTTAAGTGGGTGGAGAGGATGGTTGAGAGCAAAGTGGTTGTTCCCCTTCACAGCTCCACACTATGTGCTATAGGTCTGCTTAGGGACGTGAATTCCTTTCAAATGCCCCCATTCTTTTCCTCCTGCCTTGTCCCTTTGCACAAAATAATGCAATTTGTTTAACCATATGATATCAACATCCGTGATAACATACAGCCACAAAATTAGTGAACTCCCCCTACTTATTGTCATGTATTCATATTTTTAAAGGCCCAAATGAACTATTGTGATCATTTAGTCTGACTTCCTGCATAACTCAGGTCATAGAATTTCAAAGTTCATCTACTTTAACCATTGAGACTAAAGGCAAAATTTTATCCCACTGAAACTTAAAACACAGCTGTCCAGTTTAAAGCCTTGTGAATAAAATTAACTCATTTGATAGATTCACATATGGAAGCATGTTTTGGTGTAATTAATACTGCAAAGTAAAATGAATATACAAAATTCCAGGAAGGCATCAACATAAACTACTGAATATGAAGACGTTCTCCAAAAAACCCCAGCATGAAGTCTGATTTTCATGATTTCATTAAAACAAACTTTGAAATTGTTGTTACTATGTTATTCTAAACTTAAATGGATGTTTATGCATCCTACATGTATATGTGAGATCAGAATACAATTTTAAAAATATAGTGTGATTATATGTGCAGTATATCATCTTTAACAAACAACACAATAGTTAATTTATTGTGAGATTATTTGCTGGCATTTCAAAATACTAGGGTTGCTAACATATCTCTTCATCTTTAAATAAAAACCACTTAATGTGGGAAAAATCATAAATAGTTACAATCCTGATTTTACATTTTTAAAAATTCACTGATGATATAGGTTTCCAAACCCCTGCTTATCACATTATGATAACCATTTCCATGGCATGTAAATGATGTTCATGATCACAAAACTACAGATTTCACTTGGAATAAGTACAGCCACTGTTTTACTAAATTAAGTACTTTCTATTATTTTCTTAGTAAATGAAATTAAACATAGCTCCTTATAAGTAATATAATTCTTGTGTTTTGATGACTGCTTGTCTTGCTGAGTAGTTTAAATTAACAAAATAGGGCTCTTATGCCAATTTAAGTGATATTGTCTTAATTCCTAGATACTCTGGTGATGAAAATAACTGCCACGGATGCAGATGAGCCAAATAACTTGAATTCCAAAATTGCCTACAAGATAGAGAGTCAGGAACCTGCAGGTGCATCAATGTTTATTCTAAATAAACATACTGGAGAAGTTCACATAGCAAATTTTCTTGACAGAGAGGTAAAAGCTTCAATATGTTAATATTCAGTCTGAAAGAATGTGTGTGTGTGTGAGAGGGGAAGAGAGAGAGAGTAATGTATTTAGTGTTACAAAAGTGAAATAGAAGATTGAAAAGGCTTTATTTTTTATAATACATAGATACAGTATGGGTTTTTTACTGTATTATAGCAAATATTTGTATCTATAACAAATTGGTGTATTTGAAAAGAGCAGCAAGAAATTACTATTCATTATGTTTTAACTTGTAAATAATGTGTTCATTTTTCTTGCCAATTTAGCAATATAGCAGCTACTCTCTTGTTGTGAAAGCCTCAGACCGCGATGGAGCTGCAGATGGAATCTCCTCCCTTTGTAGTTGTGCTATTCAAGTTATTGATGTCAACGATAATTTCCCAACTCTTTCACAGAGTTCAGTAAGTTTTTTTCCCCATCAAAAGTAACATCACTAACATTTCTATGCCCTAACATCACAGAGATAACCAGTGGAGCCCTTACTCATTCTCAGGAGAACTTTCTCCTATGAATAGTCCTATCACAAAGGTACTATTCACATGAACAAGTTCTCACCAACATAGGTAAGCAAGCATTCCACAACCTGGCCCAGGGTCTACAGTATAGGCACTGACTCCGTGGGTGCTCCGGGGTCAAGCACCCAGAGTAAAAAAAGAGTGGGTGCTCAGCACCCAGGAGTCAGAGCTTGAGTGTGGAATGTGATCAGTTCTGTGCTGCTAACACCTTCTGCCCTTGTGGCAAGGAGTTTGTTTATAAACAGAGGCAGGGTGAATAAGATAACAAAAGGCTTGTCATTAAATTAAATTAAATTAAGGATCGTTAGATGATCCTGAAAGCATTCCCAGGCACTCCAGTTAAAAGATAGGAAACAAAGGGTAGGAATAAATGGTCCATTTTCAGAATGGAGAGAAGTAAACCGAGGTACCCTTCCCCCCCCACCCCCCGGGGCTTGTACTGGTCTGGGGTCAGTGCTGTTCAACATAGTCATAAATGATCTGCAAAAAGAGGTAAACAGTGAGGTGGCAAAGTTTGCAGATGAATCAAAATTATTCAAGATAGTTAAGTCCAAAGCAGACTGCAAAGAGTTACAAAGGAATCTCACAAAACTGGGTGACTTGGCAACAAAATGACAGATGAAATTCAGTGATAGATGCAAAGTAATGCACATGGCAAAATATAATCCCACTATACATACAAAAGGATGTTGCCTAAATTACCTGTTACCCATCAAGAAAGAGATCTTGGAGTCATCTGCAGTACTCTGGAAGCATTGTTTCCAGAGTACTGCAAATTCATAAGAATCCTTCTCACTGTGCCTGTATAATCCTGAACTGTGGAATGCTCATTCTCCTGCTTCAGAAGACTTAAAAATTATCTCCAGTCATCAATGGATCAGACACAACCGAATAATGTAGCTGTCCTTAACGTGTATCAGGGAACCTAGATGTAATTAAGATTGCTGACAGTTTCATCCAGAAAGCTATAGTGAGACATAATGTCTTTAAACTGTTAGTGAAGACAGCTTGTAGGTGATTGCAATGATCTTAATATACTGTATGTCATGATAATGTAATTATGTAGTTCATAACAGTTGAATCATTATTAACATAGTAAAGATACCAATGATAGACACATTCAATAACTAGAATATGAAAGAAGTGTATAAATATGCTGAAAATAGCCCCCCCCCACAAAACTTGCAGAGTGCCCCCCTCCCCCAAACACACACACCTCTTCTAAAGCATCCACTGGCCAAAACAAAAGTCAGTGCCTCTGGTCTACACACACAATTCTGATTACAAATAAACAGGTTCCTTTTGCATTGCATGAAACCAGCTACAGTGGTTCATGCATATGAAGTGGGGGACAAATTATGTAGTCCATCCACAGGATTTTTTCAGTCCTTATTCATGGAAAACACCCATTGACTTCACCCAGGATGATTTCACAGACATCTGGGGCAATACACACATTTGAATAGCAATCAGAACCACACCCTATGTGGGGCACATGGTATTTTCACAACTAGTATTGATTGTGAAGATAACATATTTCAGAAATGTAAAACCAACATATGCTTCTCTGTAGTGGTTCTTCATTACAAAATATCTTTTCAGTGCTTGTTAACAGAGTGTGCATCTGTCATTCTAGTATTCAGCAACTATTGTGGAAAATTCACTCAGTTCAGAATTGCTACGGATACAAGTTCTGGATGCTGATGAACAGTATTCGGACAATTGGTTGGCAGAATTTTTCTTTATATCTGGCAATGAAGACAACTGCTTTGAATTCGTAACAGATACAGCAACTAATGAGGGTATTCTGAGGGTTATTAAGGTAAGGATGTATAAGTATTATAATTCACAGATTTTAAAATGACATTTCCATATCATTAGGGCCAGATTCTGGTGTGTATAAAATGCAAGGGAATCCCAAATCATGCACTCCCCGTGTATAAGGTGTAAGAGAATCCTATGCTGGGAGTGGAGCTGGATACTTTCTTCCCCCTAGCTGGGGAAGGGGCTATGGCCCCACAACCATCTCACACTGACTGGCAACCCTTGGCAAGGGATGTGCATATTATGCCTCCATGAGAGAGCCTCTCATCAGGACACTCCCTATAGTGCCAATGACTATATTCTCCTTGTCTTTACACTGTGCAGGTAGTTTCCTATTCATGTTCCTTACCAGAGCTGTGGTTTACATAGCCACTATATACTATTCATATAGCAATACATATTGGCAAGAACAAAGAAAATAAAAGTTAAGGCTAACATTCCTTCCTGCCACTGAGGCAAAAACAAAGTAAAAAAGGAATGTCAATTTTAACTTTATATTTCTTGGCTTTTTTCAGCTTAATGTAACTTTGATTAAGCATAGTATTTTGAATATGGATTTTTTTCTTTAGGTTCCCCCATTAATAGTTATATGTGCTTTGTCTTAAAGCATATGATTTATCTAGAGGAGCATAAATATTTTGTTAATTTGTTTTTAGAATTAGAAAACTAAATTTAGAGTGATACATAGAATAATAGTTTTCTGAGCAAAGCCCCATGTACTATGTGATTATGTGATTATGCAGATAGTCACATAATCCTCCCCTTTTGTAAAGCAGCCACATAAAGCTCTCTTTTGTGGCACATAAAAGACCCACCAGAGGCTTGGAAGAGTAGGATAGAAGGAACTAGAATAGCAAGGAGGCTAAAGGAAAAATATCAGCTGCAGAAAGAGACTTGAAGAGGGGTTCCTGCCACTGCCAAGTCTGCTGGATCAGAACCCCCAATCTCATAAAATTTAGGAGCTTTACAGGACAAGTATACTCCAACTCCCTCCTTCACCGTGTAAGAGTTCTACTGTAGTGGAGCTGGGGCAAGCTGGTAGCGATGAGGCAAGCAGCCTGGCTGCTCCTGTTGACGTCTTTGGAGTGCTGCAGCTGGGATTGTGTCTACCCTGTTGGGTTCCTAAGCTTTACTATGGGCTGTGTTCTGGTGTAGTTTGAGTTCAGCAGGACAAGCATCTGGTCCTGGGATCCTGCTCGGCTTTAACTTTAATGGCTTCCTAGCTGTAGTCCCTTTCGCAGATCTCTCCCAGACAGCCCTGACTCTCAAAATACCTTCCCAGCTGGAGAGTAAGTGGCTTTCAAAAATCCTGGGCTTGCTTCAATAGACAAAAGATGCCACACAGCTGGTCCCAACCACCTTTGCAGACAACCAAAGGCAGGGGCAGCCCCCATCCCTGTCATGCATGTGTTTTGGACTTCTCTCGTTCTCTGCTGTCCAGTCAAAGGACATCTCTTTCTAACGGCAGTAAGAGAGAATCTACTGGGAATAGAGGAGTGTGTGTGTGTTCATTCATCTAAAATTAATGAATGAACTGAGAGTTTATGGATTTGACTAAGTTCTTATTTCTTTGTTTCTAACATTTTTAGCCGCTGAATTATGAATACTTGCAAAGTTATCCACTGAGTTTTGGTGTTAGAAACAAAGCTGCATTCCACCATTCAGTTGCTTCTCAATATCAAGTTAGTGGAACACCCCTAATGATAAATGTAAAAAATGTGATCGAACCACCATACTTTAGTCCATCTTCAATGAACTTTTTTCTGCCAAGAAGCTTATCAACAGCCGCCATGTTAAATTACATTGTTGGAGCATATACAGCCACTGATGAGGAAACTAGAAAAACTGCAACAAATGTCAGGTAAGACTGTCTTTACTCTCTGTGAGTAACATCCTCTCCCCAGCATCCAGCCTGAACAATGATGTGAGCACCTGAGTACCCAGGGAGAGGAAGGAATCCTCTATTCCAGACCATGGAACAGAATCAGAGCCTGGGACGGATGCACATTTCAAAACAAGAAAGATTTCAAAAACTAAATAAATAAAGCAATAAATAACCATTTAAATAATTTGAAAATGTTTCATCCTAACAGGTAACAGATACATTTTAAACAAAGCATATAGGAAAGTCAGCAACAGTATTATCTCTTCATTTCTAAAAGACATTACACAGCAATGTATTCATCACATCCCTGTATTGCCAAAGACAATTCAGATTGTTTCATGAGTATGGGACCTTGCCCAGCCAATATCTAGCTGGCTGGTCCTAATGAATATTAGCTGCTAGGAAAGCAATGGTGCTAAATCAGTTTTAGTCACATGAGATTATCTGGCTGGTCAGATTATTTGTCCTTTGAGGATTTATAATATATTACATTAAAAAAACTACATTAAAAGAACATACATTCTGTGAAGTCAAGCACTCGAAAGTTAGAAAATGTCAGTGTTATGGTCACCCAGGAATCCTTAATTCTAGTTCCTTGTGCATCCAGTCTATTTGCTGAAGGAGGCTGGAGTCTTGTGGGAAAAAATAGTATGAGATCATGTCTTTAAAAACTATATCATAACACTTATGCACAAAGGGGTCAAAATAAGTTTGCACAGGTAACATGAATCTGGCATCTCCTAACTTTTGAGTGTTTAATTTTGCAATCTAAATAACTCTCTTTTTAAAAAAAGAGGCTTTTTTGTAATTTCCTTTTTAGAAAAATATAAAAACAAATTCTATTATTTGCAATTGCAACTGCCCACGTCCCCTCAAGTATCATCAACAGGTGAACCTTGGATATTTATCTCTGCAGCACAGAATTCTACTACTTAAACTACAGAAGGAAAAGACTTTTCTCAAGAATGTACTGTTGATTATATGCCCTGGATCCCAAGAGTGGTAATGGGGAGCCCAGCCCAAATTTTTCTCTGACTTCCTGGAAAGTGAGGGGCACCTTCCCCTTTCTGTGCCACGAGAAGGGCTGCTAGGGACATGGGCTGGGTCTGGAGTATGCAGTGGGGGATTTGGTAGAGGGGAGCCTATGCCAGGTGTTCTCCCTACTTCCCTGTGCTTTGCGGCTGCCAGGCATTCCCAGTGCATGCTTTGGTGGCAGCAAGGGCCCAGATCTTTAGAATATTCATGTTTAGTTACATGTTATTTTGCTAAGCTGCCCAAATTTTCCTTAGACTTAAATGCAAGAGGGGGGAAATGCTAGTGCCTAACAGTTTATAACTGAGCTGAACCTGAATAGAAATTAATTAGACAATGAAAGTCTCTCATCTAGCCTGGGGGCTTTCTCCCTGCCAAATTTGAAAGGTCTGCTGCAAACAATGTAGTTGTTAGTTTCTCAGTAATAATAATAAGAGGAAAAAATTTTAAATCACAATTTTTTTTATAATGGAAAGTAAGAGTAGCTTAAATATAGAGGTCACTACCAGCTCATCCTATAATGTATTCCTATTGAAATCAGTGATAATTTTGCAATTTATTTCACTTTGTGTCTGTCTGTACATAGAGATTATCAACAGGATAATTTGCAGATGATTTCCATGGGAGCAGGATTAGTTCCTAGTGCATATATATTTACCTAAATACATACAAACTTACATATTTAGGAAGAGAGAGAGTTTGAAAATTTTCCATAGAGCAGACGATAACATAAAAAGGCATATAACTATATGATGTGATATCATACTGTACAATGGGATTTCAGTGGTACTTACTGGTGTTAGGAAGGGTTTGCAGGATTAGGCCCTACATTATTATTAGAATGGGATGTCATGTTAACCACAGCTTGGATCTGGGAAAATATAGGACCAAATCCTTCAATCCATACTCAGGTATTATTCGGGCAAATCTCCTTTTGAAGCCAATGGTATATTTGCCTGATTAAGGACTATAGAACTCGGACTTTAGCGTACATGGAAGTATCTTAAAGTGACAAATATTATTTTAAAATTATTATTATTTAATGGAGATGTCCTGTCTCCTAGAACTGGAGGGGACCTTGAAAGGTCATTGAGTCCAACCCCCTGCCTTCTTTAGCAGGACCAAGTACTGATTTTGCCCCAGATCCCTAAGTGGCCCCCTCAAGGATTGAACTCACAACCCTGAGTTTAACAGGCCAAAGCTCAAACCACCAAGCTATCCCTCCCCCCAAGTATATAGCAGTATATAACAGTGTAATGAGCTTATACTAGGGGATTCTGATGACAAATTGTATGAGGGCTACTTGCAAGGTTTAAAATGTCACCGGATCTCCTGAATAAAATTACCCTTGCATTACATGGCTGATTTTCTATCATGCTAATTATACTGAAGAGAGGAAAGGTAGTGTGCAGGCTGCTGTGAGATATATTTTAAAGCTGTAATGAACATTGTATTCTTACAGGGGGAAGGGATAACTCAGTGGTTTGAGCATTAGCCCACTAAATCCAGGATTGTGAGTTCAATCCTTAAGGGGGCCATTTAGGGAACTGGGGTAAAAATCTGTCTGGGGATTGGTCCTACTTTGAGTAGGGCGTTGGTCTAGATGACCTCCTGAGGTCCCTTCCAACCCTGATACTCTATGCAATGTCATAGCTTGTAAAACATGCTAGTATATTTGCATTTCTCCAACACATTAAACTTTATTTCAATATAAATGTTAAATTAATAATTCTCATAAAAACAAAATTTGAGGCCACATCCTCAGCTGATGGAAATTGCTGTATCTCCATTGAAGCCAATGAAACTATGCTAATTTATACCAGCTGAGTAGCTGGGATTGTCATGTTTGTAATACTTTACATTAAACATAATCCTAAGCAGTTTTTGTAAACCAAAAACAGATATCGGATTGGACATGATCCAGCTGCCTGGTTCAGAGTCAGCCCCACAACTGGTGAAATCTTTTTGAACAAAATTATTGATCGGGAGTCATCCTATGTAGTCAATGGGTTATACAGAGCAAAGTTGCTGGCTATTACAAGAGGTAAGAAAATAGATTTACCCTTTGTCATTTTGTATTTATGTATAGAACTGTCCTGGCCCTATAATACTGGTCTCCTATCCTATTAAAGTGGCTATTTCTCTGAACAAAAAGTATAAGATGGAGCTGGTCCAAACCCAAGTGTTTTCACATAGAAATCTTCAACAAAAAATGAAAAGAACTGTAATTTTCATCAAAAAGTTTCAAGAAAATTTTTGCTTTTTCAACAGAAACTGGAAAACCAAAATAATTCAGCCAAAAATGGGAGCTGAGCTGAGGTTTGTTCCTAATGTCCCTTAGTCCCCCCTACGGGCTGGGATCCCCAGTTGTACTACATCTCCCAAAATGCATCATACTTCCCTTGTTGGTGAGAAGCTGTCCATCATGGAGTCTCTGACTCTGATGCGTTATGGGAGATGTCATCCAGATGGGGATTCCCTCCCATAGAGAAGAATGGGGCATGAGGAGCAAACTACAACTCCCCCAAGGCACTGCAACTCTCATTTTCAGCCAAAAGTTTTCAGGTTTTGGCTGAAATATTTAATGAAAAATTGAGATTTTTGCACAGAAAGCAGCCACTCTTTAGCTGAAAACCCAATTAGCCACTGAAAATCAGTTTAGATGGAAAAATTTTGACTAGCCCTAATATAGGTCTGATTCTGCAAACCATTATTCACTGGAGTATCTTCAATGGGATAACACATGAGTAAGATTAGCAGGCGTAGAATGTTCTAAAAATGATGAAACTAGTTTCCTTCCCTCCACTGTTAGTTGAGATCAAATATGACTAACACATATGAATCAATCGCTACCAGCCTTAAGCAGTCCTGAGCTCAGGCCTTCTAAACTCAGCTAGTACTGCACCCAAAGGCTAGATTGCTATTTATTCTTATGGCTGCCACCTTTGAAGACATGGAGGATTTGAGTGTTTTGATAGCTCTGAAATAATAAATGATAATCAACATCTTTTAAAGATTTAGAACCAGCAAGGATTCTAATTACAAAACATTGCCATCAAAAATGAGGATGTCTTCCAAATATACCACTGAACAGTCCAAAGCTCTAGCTTCTGGAGCAAATAGTTGCAAAATAAGTTTGATTTGGGATATTAATGTGGCCTGTGTTTGTCAGTTGTGAACAATGAGTTGGAAAAATGTTGAAAATTTCCCATAATTAAAAAAATAATCAGAAACAAATGCACATGCATTTTTTCCCCGTTATTCAACCACCTATAGTTGTGAAGCCAAATTCTGTTTTCACTTACATCCGTGGAAGTCCAAACTGACGTCCATTCCTGCAAATCTTTACTTATGCATGCAACTAGTCCCACTGATTTCATTGAGACTTTCATGGGCACTAAATCAATTGAAGTCAATGGTGTTACTCTGGATTTACACCTGTGTAACTGAGAGCAGATTTGGACCCCTTCACTTTAATTAGCACACCATCAATGTGTGAACAAATAAAGTTAGGCTTGGGTTGAGTTAGAAATTTAATTCTTGAATTGTAATTTTAAGAAAATTGCTAGCATTATTTATCTGTATTACTGTATTAGTATTTTAGACGGTGATATAAAAGAGAAATAAATGTTGTGCATGTTTTGACAGGCATTTACAACCCCTTGAATACTTCTTTAACACCAATTATTGTTGACAGATGTTCCTGCAAAAACTTCCACTGGTACCATTGTGCTTGTAGTTGACGATTCCAATTATAACTGTCCAACTCTTAGTACTGAAATGAGACAAGTATGTATGAGTTCTCCAAAAGTTATTATCACAGCAAAAGATCTGGATGGTGATACATATAGTCCTCCCTTTACATTTATCATAGCTAATCAGCCTGCAAGAAGTTCATGGAGTATTAGACCAATAGATGGTGAGTAAAGTTAAATTTTTATAACATAGTAAGTCATAGAAATAAAAACTCATTTAGGGTTTTCTTGCTTGCTTGTTTATGTGTAAGATTGATGACAATGATAATCAAGCATCTAATAGAAATTAAGATGAACAATACAGTTATTGGGCCTTGTTGTGATCTCACTTGCATAGTTTTTATATTGGTATAGTTCATTGACTAACTGGAGTTGCTCCTGATTTTCAACTGTGTAAGATGAGAAAGAGGCTCATTATTTGCATTTTATCTAAAATTATTAGTTTTAAAATATAAACCTATATGAAGATTCCACAGGACAGCTATGCTTTTGATTTTATTTTGCTGCACTATAATTATGGTGTATAGGGTATATAGCTGAAGAGGGTCTAAAGCTAATCTAGTAATTATTTTGTTTTGTCAATTGCCCAAAGAGTTCTGAACATGTCATGAAAATCCCAAATGTATTAATTATATGATGTTATCCATGAATTTCTTGCTCAACAGAATACTTGATTTATGAAATGAGTATATTAGAATTGCAAATACAATTTGTATTACAATCTACAATCCTGAACCCATTGAAGTTTTTTGCCACTGACTTTAATGGAAGGAATGTCCCCTACATTAGTTTAATACATTAGTTACATAAATTACAATGTGCTTTTCAGATTCTATTTTATATTGTAATAGTCACAGATTACTCTTTCAGTTAGCTATGTAAGACATCCAACCCGGGATTGGAAACAATATCACATGACTTAAAGAGTGACTGTTAGCAAGTGGTGTTCCAACCATGCTGTAAATACAAGTCCACATATTTTGTATATGGTCAAATCATCCCCTTTCTGGGGAGGGGAGGAAGGGGCTATAAACAAGTCACTTCAAAATAATCTCCATACACAATTCCCTAGATTTATCTTTCAGAGGAGTGCCCCTACCTCCTTGTATCCAGGGTGGAGTTAATAAACCACACTTGCAACATAGTCAAGAAGGTTCACTAAGCATCTCCCAGAGTCAAAACCTGCCAAGAAGGTGGGTCCATAGGAGAACCTGCCACCATGTTACACCAAACAACACAGTGTAAATTCTGAATTGAATATACATTATTTTATTTATATTGCAATAGCACCCAGAACCCCAACTGGGATCTAGGACCCAATGTAATAGGAATTACACAAATACATAGTAAGAGTAATCATTGTCCCAAAGAACTTAGTCTATTTTCGCTTCTATCCTTTGTCTGTCTTGTCCATTTAAACACAGACAAGTGAAGTGACTTGCCCAATATCACAAAGCAGGTCAGCAGCAGAGCCAGGGCAGAAACAGGTGCGTTCCTCATGAGAATATCATCTTTTATTCTTTTTTTTCCCAAAAGGTTACTCTGCAGAACTGAGCACTCAAAATATCGAGTTTTTCATTTATGACGTCTATGTCCATATGATAGATAACCAAGGCAGAAGATGTCAACGACCACAGAGAATTCTTTTGCAAGCCTGTGTTTGTGATAGCCGCCTAATGTGTACTAGTGTTGCTACACAAAAAAATATTACCGAAGACATTCGGGATGGTGTGACGATTGATCAGGGTCTGGTCACTGTTGGTAGTAGTATTGCTACATCTGTTGAGCCTTATTATTATACTGATGTTTATGGTCCTGATTTTGGAGGCCGGCAGGGTGGAACGACTACACTTGGTGGTGCTGCTATTGCTCTGATGTTTCTTGGAGGCTTAATATTTGTGTGTAAGTATTCAATAAGGTATGCTATTTAATGATATCTCTATGCAAAGAATACTGTTTTACTCTTCCAAAATATTTTTTTATTTTTTTATTAAAACACAGAAGCACAGAGTATCTCTGTGGAAAAAAAAGAAGCATCCTTTAAATAATATGAATTTTTGCATGTAGTTTATTCAGAAATTATTTTTTCTGTCCTTTTATATATAGCTTTTTCCTAGAACACTACCCTTATCAGAATAAGGATCTTATGCTGCTCCTACTGAAGTCAATGGGAGTTTAGGCAGGATCAGAAAGAAGTGTGGAGGTTAGGATCAAGAGTCAGTAAAATCTGGGCAAAAGTAGGCTCTAAAACTTTACCACAACTTGCATTTATCTCAGTAACATAAATGAGCCTCCTTATTTCAAAACATTTCTAAAAAGAGCGGTTGATGCTAAACTGAAAATAAACCAAAAAATAATAAATAAGAACCCAATCCTGGTTTCAGTAAAGGCAGAACAAAAAATTTCATGGACTTCAATGGTAGCAAGATCAAGGCCCTAATGTATAAGTCAATTTCTGAGCTGGTGATCATTATGTTGATGAAAATTAATATTTTCTGTGAGAACAACTAGAATACATCACTTATTTAAATATGTCCCCATTTTTCAAACAATGGAAGTTGTGGTCTGGGGAGGAAAAGAATGAATCCATCCACACTGTCGTGTTTCAGCAGTAAAAGTGGTATATGAACTTTAGAAATGACCTCCCATAATGCCAGAATCACAAATGGTGACAATTTTCAGCAGTATGACCGCTCTTAACATGCTGGTCAGAAATGAAGAGTATTCTGAATGTCCTTCTAACAACATTTTGAAATGGCCTGATTCACAAATATTGGCTACATTTACTGTAGGAATTTAATTTGTTTCCCATTTTAGAACTTTATTTTTAAATCTTTGATTACAATTGGGCAAAATTTCCATGCTTTGTTGTCCCCATGAAAACCAGACCAAATTTAGCCAAGTAATAAGCCTCTGAAAATCACAGTTCTCACTTGCTCAGTAGAGACTTGTAAGAGTTTGGTGGCTAAATTCTTCAGATTCCATCTCTGCTGGGCATGTTTCAGTCCAGGACTGCAGAGCCCATAGCAGAACTTTTCCTGCAGTTGCACCTCTTGGCAGCTGAAGTCCACTATGTTCAGCTTCACGGGAACTCTCCTTTGCTCTCAATGATCCCATGCTAGTGCTCAGGCAACAAAGAGGAAAAGGAAGAAGCAACCTGACTGGAATGTAGAGGGGTGAGGTGCAATGAAGGGGAGAAAAGAAGAATAGGAGCAGTGGGAAAGAGAAAAGGGGGGGGGGAGGAGCTGGAGTAGATGGGGGTAGGAGCTATGGGGTGGAGGTGGATAGGTTCAGAAGGGGTTGAAGGAAGGAGGCATGGGGGCAGGGATGAACAGAGAGGGAGGGGGCAGGAGCCAGGGAGCTGGAGAGGAACAGCATAGGAGAATATAGGAGCAGAGATTGACAGACATGTGCCAAATGAATTGGAGCAAGAGGGGGGACAGGTTGGAAGCACAGGGGCAGAAGGGTTTATAACCACTAGAGCACACTCCCCTCCAGAATCTGGAACTGAACCCATTATTCCTGAGTCTCAACATGGTGTCTAGCAAATAGCTGTGAAACCCACTGGCAAGTATGTATGTCATCCCCTTCTAGTGGCTGGTTCACATAGAGCAGGGGTAGGCAACCTATGGCACGCGTGCCAAAGGCGGCACGTAAGCTGATTTTCAGTGGCACTCACACTGCCCGGGTCCTGGCCACCAGTCTGGGGGCGGTCTGCATTTTTATTTAATTTTAAATGAAGCTTCTTAAACATTTTTAAAACCTTATTTACTTTACATACAACAATAGTTTAGTTATATATTATAGACTTATAGAAAGAGACCTTCTAAAAATCTCCATAATCTTTGTGATGTATTCAGATATACCCATTCGGTGAATAAGGCAGAGTCCTTTGGAAACTATAGCATGTGATCATGTAATTAACGATGGTCTCATAATGCATATACATAAGAGGGCTGAATTAAGGTTGCCAGGGCAACCTTAATTTCTTTTTGCTTAGGCTCTGACAATGACTTCAGAGGAAAATGTCTGCTCATACGTCTAGATTCAAGTTACCCTGAACCTGAGTCTGTTTGGTTTTAAAGTGTTACTGATATAGCTGTATGGACCAAAATCTGTTCCCCGTTATACTGGAGTAAATCTGGGTTAGTAACTCCACTCTGCTCCAGATTTACTCCATTGCAAGTGGGAGCAGAAGTTCTCCTGATGACAAAATAATATGTGCATTTTCAAAAAGTCACTAGTGATTCTGAGTGTCCCAGTTTTTGAGTTCTCAACTTGAAACATCTTAAGGGAGTCAGATTTTCAGAAAGTGCAGATCACCAGCCCTCTGAGGAAAAAGACGTCTGAAGAACTAGATCTAGATGTAGATATATACTCAGAGATGGAAATACATTTAAAAAGATAATTGATTAACTTTTTTGTTTCTTTCTCCATTAGTGTTTCCAATTTTGATGGCAATGAGTGACTGTTGTGGTTATGGAGCTAGACCTGTAGGTGGCGTTGGGGCTGGATTTGAGCCTGTACCTGAATGCACAGAAGGAGCAATTCATTCATGGGGAATAGAAGGAGCACATCCTGAAGACATGGTCAGTCCATAGTTTGTAAAAACACAGTTATTTGTACTTAGAATTAGTTCTATTGTAATGCCTAGAGTTGGGACAGTGATTGTGGTGCTGCGTCTTTTTTTAAATAAAGGAATTGATAGTGCAAACTATTACGCATGCAAGTTTATTCATTGACTTACATAGGACTTAAGACGCCTGAGTGAATACCTGAGTAAAGTTACAGGATCAGGCCCAGAATTTGTAAAGTATTACAGCTGACCTTTCCTTCTGGTAAATTACAAATTAAAAAAAAATGAGCAAGGTAAAAAAAGAGAAAAAATGGAAATTCACCCCAAATGGTGATCTTAGTGCATATTTAAATAGCTGAAATATTATTTTCCAGGCTATCACAGGCATCAGTGCATCAAAAACAGTTGCCACTGCAGGTGACTTTGTTGACCCCTCTGGTAAGTAGACACTGAATTTCTCTAAGTTTTGTAATGCAGAGAGCCATCTTTCAGCATGGAATGTCCTTTTGATATAAAAGGCCTTTATCTGATTTAAAAGGTTTCCTTTTCCAAGCAAGGGCCCAATCCTGGAACATTTACTCATACAAATAGTCTCATTGAAGTCAGTGGGATTTGTCATGTGAGTAAAGGGCTACTTGCGTGAGTAAGGTTTAAGTCTTAGATACAGGTAGATTTGGGCCTTAGCTATGTGTTTAAGAAATAATTGTTTTGAAATATTTGCCAATGCTTTCAAGCCCAAATACATCTTGCTTTAACATTCCAGTTATCAAATTATTTTTTCCTCATCAAAATTAACTATTTCAGGTACAGCATAAGAAATATAAGCAAAAATCATTTTCAGTATTGGAATAATGTAATTCTCAGTAATAGCTAAAGAGTTCAGTTCTTCCCTGACTTTAAGCAATGTTTAGCACCAAGGAGGGTGGGGACTGCCAGGGAGCTAGTTTCTGCTCCCTGATCCTTTGTCAGCCCAGACACAACATCCGCTAGAGCAGCCTTTGTGTTGCTCTAATTTACACCTCTGCTATAAGGTCCCTTAGAGATCTTATGCCAGTGGAGAATCAATTTAACCATGGCTCTTCCTTCCCCCAGTACTCTCCCTATGCCAAAGCATGAGGTGAGGATGGCCGACACAGCAGCAACCTCCACTAGGTTAATGCCTGCAAGGAATTCCCTTCCACAAATCGTATTCTATGATGGCCATTTATAGACAAAAATGTTGTTACCCTCAAGATAAATCAAAAGATGAAATCTTATGGTTCTGAGAATGGGAACTTTTATTCATTGATGTCAAGGGGAGCTTTGCCAGAATAATGACTATAGGATTAAGACATTTGCAACTTCATTCCAATCCTTCTCTTCAGTCCTCTTGCAAGAGCTTATGGGCCAAACTCGAACATCAGTTAAGATCAACAAAGGTGACTGGGTATAAATGAGAGCAAAATTTGGCCTATGGGTATAACTTACCACAGACATAGTCAAGACAATAGTGACTGAGCAACTAATTGTTTTAGTACAAGTTGACATTTGAGACCAATTCATTGATTGATCTCATATAAAGACTTCTGGAGAAAAGAAAATTCCACACAACATACAGAATTTTAAAAGGAATTTTTCATTCTGCATTAGGAATACTATATTTATATACTTTAGCTATTGCCTTTTATTTCCCCCCCCCAGAAACACTGCTTTTGAACAATTATGCACAGCAAAGGCAGAAGGATCTTTCTATTCTTAACATCCAGTAAACATAGGGACTGATTTTCAGTAAGATTATAGGTGCACACTTATGCATGTCCATATATTAAAGTATAATATCAGACATACTCATGCAAGTCCCTGATATATGCACACACATGACTACATAGTCATCTATCATGTGCATATGCAAATCAAGAATTTTTTCAAGCATATTCTGTATTGTTTATGCAAATACAGGCCCAGAACTTTACAGAAAATCAGGAAGATTGTAAGTGTATATTTGCATGCATTTAATTTTTATTGCAATTCCACTGTTTAGCACTATAGCACATGCTTGTGTGAATCTGTGAATGACACTAGCCCAAACTGCCCTTAATTGATGGTTTACTAGTTGTTTTTTTTTTAATGTTTGTAGTAATCAAACGGTAAGCAATTAATTTCAGTGAAAGTTTTCCTCACAGTGTATTGTAGGATAATATTGTTTTCTATTTTCAGACATTTATACAAATACATATGGAGGAGGAGCAGTGGTAACTTCAGGACTTGAAGAAACTACAGGGCTCGGAACAGCTGTAGGTTATGGAACAGCTAACAGCTATGGGGCAGCTACTGGCTATGGAACAATGGGGAAAAAAGAGTCAATTGGAGGGACATTAAGAGAGTATAGAGAAGGAGGAGTGAATATGGCTTTCTTAGACAGCTACTTCTCGGAGGTAATTTATCTACCTGATTTTTAATATATTTGTCTATATAATGTCAGATTCTAATTGGATTTACACCTGTATAACTGACAAGTAACTTCAATGAAATCAAAAGAGTTACATAGTATAAAATGATGTAACTGAGAGGACAATCAAGCCCATTGTGTACATTGATAAGAAAAAAAGGGAATGATAAATGAAATTGCTTTATGTGTTATTGATATAATAAATCTGAATGCTCAATAGCATTTTGCATTAAAGTCCCCTTGTTGAGGGATACAGTGAACATTTTCATTAATTGTCAAACTGGTTATTAATATGATTTATCATTGCCTTGGTTAGGATTAGAGCTGGAAAATAACTCATAGCAACTCATGCATTTGATGAATGTTACCTTTTTTCTGTTTGTGAATTATTTATGAATAGATCATGAAATTCTTGAATATATATTTTATTCAAAATTTCTCATGAATTTCTTCATCAAATAATGCATGGTTAGTGCATAGTTCATGAATTGTGAATATTATCACATCACACTGTCTTGTTCTTTTCTTATTGTCTCTGTTCCCTGAATGGATGACTAAGGTAACTAACCAACATGGTATGAAATGCAAATTGTATATTCAAATGTAAAATTCAGTTTGCACCATGTTGATTAGTTACATAAGTCATTTAAATATGGAACAGAAACAATATCATGGGACTATGTTGTTAGCTAACAACATGACCTTTGAGTTTCAAATGTTATAACTAAATATGTTATCAAAATTCATTTCTGGTGGATATTTGAACTCAAATTTCATTCTTCATAAGTACTTGCCTTAGCAAAAGCTTGAGAGGTTAAATGTTCACAGAAAGCAAGCATAAAAGGGTGACAAATACTGATAAGTAGACATTTTATTAAAAATTAACACAAATATTAATGACTACATTTTCTCACTGCTTTTATCCACTTGTAGTTGTAGTCACCTGTGTTCTGCAGTATTATCACAGTAGGTCACATTCTGCCTGGGAGTTCATGCATGCTAGAAATCTACAATTGGTAGATGAAGACCCACACGGCACAAATAAGCTACCTCAGTTCTGGCCGACTTGAAACATTGCTCTTCTGCAAGAGGCACAATAGATGGAAGATAATGCACCATGACCAAAGGTTCAGGGACCTACTTGTTAACAGGCGAATCACAGTGATCCCTCCAATCATGCCTCAGATATTCAACATCTCTTCCTCCTGTTTTTGACACTAAACCATTAAATGCCTTGTGAAAATCACCAGTATAAAGATTGCTAATATTTGATCTCATCCGATCTAAAGAAAAAAGTCAGTCTAATTCTGTTTTCCCGTTTTCTCCTTCAGAAAGCATTTGCCTATGCAGATGAAGATGAAGGCCGACCAGCAAATGATTGTCTACTAATATATGATCATGAAGGAATAGGTACTCCTGTTGGTTCCATTGGCTGCTGCAGTTTTATTGGAGAAGATATCGATGACACCTATTTAGATACGTTAGGACCAAAATTTAAGACCTTGGCAGAAATCTGTTTAGGCAAAGTCATCGAACCCATTCCAGGTTTTAGTGCTACCTTTCCCAATATCGAAAGTGATCTAAAGCTGCCACCACCTGGAACTACGATCATCGTTAATGAATCTTCATCTATGCCTCCCCCTGTTGGTAGTACAACAATTGTTACCGAAAACACTTACACATCTGGTTCTACCCTACAGCCTGCAAGGCCTATACCTGATCCTTTGCTCCATGGTAACGTAATGGTGACTGAGACCTACACATCCGGCTCAACTTTTCAACCACCCACACTTAGTGTCGATCCTCTCCGTGCATCAAATGTTGTTGTAACAGAAAGGGTGCTTGCTCCTGCCTCTGCCTCTGATTTGCGCGGCATTCTAGATATTCCTGATCTAACAGATGGGGCAAATGTTGTAGTCACAGAAAGGGTAATTGCACCTGGTTCAAGGCTACCCCCTTCTTTGAGTATCCCTGATCTAGCAGATGCATCAAATGTAGTGGTGACAGAACGGGTGATTAGACCTGCCTCTGGTCTGCCAGGCAATTTAACTATTCCTTCTGAGCTATCAAATGCACATAATGTAGTTGTTACAGAGAGAGTAGTGTCTGGCCCTGGCATGGGGGGCATGGGAGGCATGGGCGGCATGGGGGGCGTGAGCGGCATGGGGGGCATGAGTGGCATGGGGGGCATGAGTAGCATGACTGGTCAAATGCTTAGCGCTGACACTCATCTTAGCCAGACAGTTGGATCCGTCTCCCCTGGTACATCTCGAAGAAGGGTAACAAAATACAGCACAATACAGTATGCTAATCAGTAAGGCTTCTATCAGTACATTTTTCTGCAGAGATCATGATTTACATTGAAATTTTTAACTCTTACTAAATATACCAAAGTATATTTTTATTATTTATAACTAGCAAATAGTACTAAAATTCCTGTGATTCTTGTCTGAGTAAGAATCTCGTAAAGTTATCCAGTTTCAAAGTGAAACACAGAAACATTGTCAATGGGGGAAAGTTCAGGTAAGCAACTTTAAATATTTTCTTTTATTATCACAAATGCAGTGCTAAAAACAGATGGTGATTCCTCTTCCATAACGTGGCCTTTTGCATATTGTCAGTGTTAAGAGTGAGAGTATTGTTCATTCAAAATATTACCCTCCTAATATACATTAGTCAGCTTGCTCTCTGTTTCCCTGCCATATTTCTCAGGCAATATGAAAATGGAACAGCACTGGAGCTGTGTTGAAATATTTAGGATCAATTTGAACAGTTCATTTGGCTCAGGACTAACCGACTTATGCAGAGTCTATCCAGAGCAAAAATTTCATTTTGGAAATCCATTTCCAATACTTACTCTGCTAAGGTAAAATGAGCTTAAAATTGCTCCAGGAGAAAGAGCTTAGTATCAGAATGTGTCAGTGAGAAGGGTTGACTGTATGTGTATAGTATTGAGCTGCATGAATTTCACATGGTGCCCATGCTGAGATATCTTATCCTATTATGACCTGTCGAGATATCATTGGCCTTTATTTAAATTGGGATCAAAGGCCTTTGACTGATTAACTGCCCCCCTTCCGCTCCCAAATGTGGTGTGGCAATAGTGCAATGCTGTCTCGGGAAAGGGTCGTCGTTATGACTTGTCAACACAATGTTTAACTAATCACTTTCAAATGCATCGAATTTACATTGCATGTTGTCACAATATGTTTTACAAAAAGTTACTTATCAAAAGTTATTCCCTTGCCACTAACATAATACAATGTATAGAAATAGTTACAAGCATAAAAATACAGTATATGCTCATTACTCACCACACTTCTCAGTAAATGCCAAGGCTTCCATCCTGAAGGGTTTGACTCAAAACACACCACATCTAGTCCATCTGATCTGGTAAGGGTATGAAACTATTAGTCACGTCTGTGGCTCCACTAAACTTACTACCATAGTCTAATCAGCCGTGACTGCTATCCTCAGTGACTCTGAGGTTCTTAGTCAGGCTTGTTGCCATCTACTAACCAGAAGATAATCTCTAATTTCTGAGCATATTCTGAGTATTATATTATATCTTACTAGTTCTCTGCACTAACAAATCACAAGAAAATATCATCTTAGCTTCGTGTTCTGTGGGTACAATTGCAGTTTTGTCAAAGTGTTATAATTCTGATCTTGGCCATAGAAGTCTTTCAGGAGAAGAAAAGACTACTTGGGAAAACATAGCTTTGCTAGCACACAGTACAGAGACTAGATATTTCATATCATGTCTGTACTTTGCATTGTATTTCGAAAGTGAATTTGAATATGTTAAATGGGAAAACTACATGGAAGTCCTTATGGAATTTATCATCTAAATTAAATTGGGTGTTTAGTTCCTATTTTTCCACAAGACACCAGCTCAGCCAAGATCTCTATTTGTTTGATTCTAAATAAATACAAACAGTAAAAATTTGTCCCCAAATTTCAGCTGATACTTAACAAAAAGATGGCAATCTTTTATCCATTGCTTAGTGCCTCTGTGGATAGCTTACTAATTGCATATATACATCATCGAATACATGAAGCTGAATGAACAAAATACTGAAATATAGTAGCTACCTTGTTTAAATTCTGTACCATATGTAAAGTATAGTAACTGTAGTGTACACAACAATACTTTAGTGTAAATACAATAAAATTATTCATGGGGCTTGTTTTGTCACTAAACTACAAAATCTGAATTTTTTTTCCCTCTTGCTTTGCTCCTTCAATGCTGATGGGTAAGTTATTGAGGAGTTTACGAGAGTTGTATTAGAATAATCACTTGATCTCTGACATCACTTCTCATGGGTTAAAAGGGAGGAGACTTAGTCACCTACCTAGATTGATTTAGCTCATAAGATCTGGACAAAGAGTTTCTGAGCCTGATGTCATTTAAAGGCTTTTCTAAAATATGCTTTCTGAAATGCAAATTGGCCCATTGTCAAAGACAATGTGCAGTGCCTTCTGCACTGACATTACAGCTACAGATACCAATGGCTTCCTGAAGTTTATCAGAAAGCCAAGGCTGTCTCACAAAACAGTTCTCCCATGGTATTGTATCCAGCTTCAAACCTCGTATAAAGCCACTTGTTATGCTACATATTCTACACATTAATGCTGGTGTACAGTCTCTTATGACCTGATTCTGCAATCCTCACTCAAGTTGGGTATCACTTAGATTTTATTGACTTAAATGAAATTTTTCTAAACAGTAAGTCCTACGTAGTGTGAGTAAGGATTGCAGGGTTGTTCATTGAAGAAGGAAAACAGGTTACTACTGTACACAGGCTTATGGTTTCATGACTGAGTATTGCAAACTATAAAATTCAGTACAAAAATCAAATGTTGCCTTTTTCACTAATCAAAAAGCTTTTATTAACAAAAATGATTTTGATGTAAAAAAGGATTTTTTGCAAAATATCAGTGTTGTGTAAGTATTTCTCTAATCATCTTATGCAAATCAAAAATATTCTTCCCCCCATGATATTCACTAGTTGTAAAATTAGGTTTCAGAAACACTTGCTGTATTCTTTCTTTACCCTGTTGAACAGGAATGTTATATGATGTATCGGTTTTTGAACTAGCTATAGTCTCTTGCATGTCTAGGAATAGAAATGGTTTTAAAAAAAGGAAAAAATGTTAAAAAATCTGGATCTATTTTGATTATATGGTAGTTGCCTTTCTTTGTTCTTAATAATTTCTGCCAACTCTTTCTAAAGAACAGTAGTTTGATGTTTAGTGAAGTGTCATGAAAGAATATCCTAGTGTACTTTTTTAACACTTGATTTCTCATGGATCAAGTAGCAACAACATTATTCTCTTTCAAACTGGACTACCAATGCATTTCTGAATATTAATTTCTCTTGCTGTGTAATTTCAGCTTTTTAAAAAAGTTTTGTTAGTAAGATATGGAAGTCTTTAGGTTACTACAAATTGTTGAACAAAAATGCATTTGGAAATGTAAGAAATTATTCAGTTTATTAAAAATTCTGTACAAACACTTTTGCTAGACTTATTATTGCTGGAAATGGCATATAGTTTAATCCTCATTAAGAGATATTTAGTTTAATTTTGCTTTCCTTCAATTATTGTATAAAAGTGTGGTTTCTGCCTTGGTTGTTTAATAATGTTGTTTTATATGCAACATAAGTGCTGTTCAAGTTAGAAGGGCAAAACTGAATGCAAATATATAGATTTCAATCCTGCTGCAAGCCTTTCCTACAAAGTATTCCCATTAAAGTGTGAAGGGCTTGGAGAAACAGGTCCACAGCTTTTATATTTGAGCCTGATCCTGCAATTTTACACAGGATGAGCTAAATCCTCAACTGGTATAAATGGTGTAATGCCATTAAAGTCACTGGAGCTATGCAAATTTACACCAGCAGAGGACCTGGCCTGGTTACTTCAATTGGAGCACTACCTGACTTGGAACTGCAGGATTTAACTCTTTGGTCTCATTCCTGCTTCTTTTGGAATAAATAGAATTTTTAATATTGGGAGTAGGATAGGGCCCATTATTTGTAACTCAAGAAGACTCATGCTTACAGTTTAAAAATGAAGCATATCGTTAGAGAGTCTTCCTGTTTTGTCTGAGATAGTATAACCATACTCTTGAAATACTTTCTGCTAATGAATTCCCAAACAGCATCATTTCTCTTATATGTTTAAACTAAATTTTACTTGTAATAGCCAATGAATGGCACAGAAATAATAAGATAGAGACAAATATCCATTTACAATATGTCATGCTTTTTTAAGAAGTGCTGGTCAGGAATTTTCAGTCAAAATGTCTTTTGACAAAAAAACGCAGCTTGAGCAAAATTTTCTACAAGAAAATTTCAATTATGCCAAAATGTTTGGATTTTCAGTCAGAAAAGTTGAAATGACATATTTTATTTGGGGTCAGGTCAACCTGAATCAAAACATTTTGGTTTGTGTCAGTTCAACATTAATCTGCCTCGCATGCCCTCATTTGCCTTTATGAGCCAAGCTCCTTTTCTAGATGATATTTCCTATGATGCCCCACAGTCTCCCTTCTGGCTGAACCATTGGATTGCATCTTGGGAGATACAGGCCATGTAGGCCAGCCCATACAAAAGAATAGGAGCATGAGGCACTACAACTCCCATGAGACACCGCAGCAACTCAGAAAGACACTGTTTAGTGTTGAATCAAGTCAAAATAAAACAATTCAGTTCGACAAGTGGAAACAAAACATTCTGACATTTCAGAATCAATCATTTTCTGAAATTTCCATTCTATGAAAAATGTTGATATTTCAACTTTTCAACTCAATTTGTGACAAAAACAAATTTTGAAACATTGGAATTTCCCTTGGGACACAAATTCTGAATTTCAACCAGCACTACTTTTAAAATGTTTTATTTGAAAGTAGTATGGTATTTTTTTTGTTAGAAAAGTACATTTTTTAATTTTTAAAAATCTAATTTATCACTATATTTTGCTGTTAAATCTTGACATTCTTTCCTTCAGTATTTTATACAACATTGCAAACAATTGATTTAAATATCTGGGCATCAAGTTCTATCTTTTATTCATCACTGATCATTTGCAACTATATATTGATAATATAGTGACTTCCCTGGGAAGACTGTAATTTAATACAAAGAGAAGTACTGGAAATGGCAACATTTCCCCTTAATTTTCAGTGAACTGAGAAGCCTCCCATTACTTTTCAGTGTAGAAACAAAACAGAGGCAGAATAAAGGATCAGATATGCCCCTTTTCTGCACAAGCAACCCCCATGCAAATCTATGGGAGTTATATGTACAGGTCAAGG